AAACAAGTAAATAAGCTGAATGACTGCTTTTTAAATTTTCTGTTGACTATCTAGTCCTAAATAATGGCCATTTTCCCATGAAAAAGCACTGAGTATTTTTGTTTGCTTGATTTTCCTCACCCCCCGCCCCCACTAGATTTGTTTTATTTATTTCAATACTCGATTCCAAAGCCTGACAGAATTCAGAAGTGGGTGTCAGGGATGGGGTTGGGGTTGGAGATTAAAAATTGTTTTGATTCTGTGCAGCACAAAATCATCCGCTCTGGAATATTCCAGTAAAAAAAGATAGATCACCACTATGTCTTAATACTTTTCATATTTTAAATGAAAATATATAAAGAAATGCAGTTGGTTCTTTGATTAAAATAACTGGTCATCAACACTATTGTGGGCTTGAGCACTGCTCTGATAGTTATTACCTAAAATGGCTTTCTGCATGGATAGATGACTGATTCATTGGGTTGAAACACAAAAAGGCAGGTGCTGGGCCAGCCCTCCCATTAGGCAGAGTGAGGTAGTTGTCTCAGGCAGCAGTTGCTGGAGGGCCCAGAGCAGTGATAAAGTGACGATGGACAGAACTGCATGTACTGTGCAGTCTGCCATGCAGTCCCTACGCTAGCCTGTTGCCCTCAGGTAAGTTACAAGATGTTGCACAGTCCGCAATGTTAAAATTCAGTAAAAAAGAAAAATTCAGTTGGCAGTCTATGCTGGTCTTCTATGTTGACTGGAGGGGTGGGGAGAGTACCTTGTCCTTTGCTTCTGGTAGCAAAACATCTTGGGACGGCCCCAAACAAGTGCATACTATTGTTTATGCAGTGTGATGATCTTTGCGGTACCGTTAAAATGGTATCTGTTAATGTTTGTGGATTGCTCATATTTCGTGAAAGCAGTGTTGGTTTTGGTAAAGAAATAAGAATGTGCTATAACCTTTTTCTGCCCTTGAGTTATTTTTGCTGTCAGAGAATCCTGCTTGGGGATTCAGTGCAGATGTTAGATATCACTTGCACACTTCTGTTTTTCCCATTATGAAAATCAGAATGACATCCAGAATCCTGGACAATTCCATACCCATTTCTGTAATACTAAACCCCAATTTTGCTTTTATCTGTCACAGAAGCATGCCTTTACCCCACAGCTATCTTTTGTTTAAAGCCAGCGTTTAAAATAAATATAACCTGGGCATTAAAAGAGAAGGCCCTGTTGTTATACAATTAAACAAACAAGCCCTTGGATGTCTTGGCACCGTCTGTTTCTGAACTGGTGTCAACTGATAATATAGTGCAAAATCAGTGCTCAGTTCCAGACAATATAGAACCTGCCATGCACTTAGCCAGATCAGATCCTCATCTGGAATGGTGCTGTACATTCCCAAGACATCAGTTTCCAAAATCTTCCGATCTTTCTGTAGATACAGTATGGCAGCAGTGATATGGCAGCCTTGTTTGTTTTGCGTTCCCATGGAAACCAAAGGGTAGGAGTGCCTGGTCTTAAAACAGCACTGAATTCTGCATTCTAAGGACCAGCTTACGCGTTGGTGCCTCCAACATGAATGTTGCAGCTATGATGTCCCAGGCAGCTTGCTATGGCTGGGAAAGCGCGTGGAGGCAGGGCCAGGCGGTTATTTTGTTGCTCAAGCAAAGAAAAAGAAGATCTTGTCCACCCCCAGCCACCAGTACACATCACCACTCTGTATATATGTTTATGGCACTGACAGCAGGATCTTTCTTCAGTGGGGGTGACAAGACAGTGTTCTTGGCTACCCCTGAGAACAGCAGGATCGCTTCGGGGCTGTGGGATAGACCACGACACACACACAATTCTTTCTTCCAACATCTTACCACAGCTTGCCCGTTCCCCAACCTCTGAGACAATAGCCTGTGTGGCAGACATCTACACTATCATTAAAAAATGTTCTTGGTCAGGGCTGCCCTACCATGAGACAGAGTAAAACAGTCCCTTCAGGTGGCAAATGCTGGGAGGTGGTAGGAAGGTGTTGGAGGAGAGAGCTGTGGGCCATGTGGCCTGCCCCAGGGCCCCAAAACTGGTTGGTGCTGGTTGGTAGTGTGCAAGAAAAATTCAGCTGCTAGAGCAATTGTCTCTGAAATCTCGAATGGGACAGGGTGTCATACCGTCCTCTGTTTCAGGCAACAAAATATCATGAACCAGCCCGGTTCTTGGTGGTGGGAGGTGGTGTGGGAACACTCCATCAGATGCAACCCATTGAGGCAATCCATGTGGTGAGACTGACACTATCTGATCACAGTGGGGTATCATTATCTGTGTAGAAATGTATTCCTGATGTTAAAGTAGATGGTACTGGGGAAATGCCGCATATCATAAAATATGCATACTTTTCCTGATACAAAAATCCACACTATTGGCTTTGCTGTTGGTTTTCAGATGTTACATTTTCCATTCAAATATTTGGTGTATGAATAAATGTGAATGTATCTGTAGAGCCATGCTGGGCACAGAGCCCCCAAATGAACTGCAAGCAACATACTGTGTTTGGCATCTGAGACGCTACATGGAGTTGTAATAACTGATCTGTGGCATGCTGCTGTGTAATAAGGTGCCATTGCTGTTGGATGACTCTTTTGCTTTCTCCCATGTAGACTATTGAACATATTATTTTCCCTTGATTTTTAACAGGCCATATAAATCTCTCTCTAGCTTGAGGATAACTTATAGCCACTGCTAATGCAGCAGGCTAAAAGTACCTGAAGGTCATCTAGTCAGAATCCTGAATACGCCTGAGACTTAAAGGGTTGGTTCATGTGGCCCAAATTCTACTTTAACAACAGGCAAACAAGAAAGTCAGGTGCATCACTGTGGCGTTACTGATCATAGCAGAGGCAGCGTGCCAAATACTCAGCTCTGTTTTGTAAACAAATGACTCAAATGCACAAGTCATTTATAATGTCCACTTGCTCACTGATCTGATTCCTTCCCCCAAAAATTGCCTATGTCAGTTTTGGGTGCTTCCATGTGAGGTTTTTATGGTGCTATCATTCTCCTTAATTCCTGGATTGTTGGAGAAAGTCTACTGTATTATCCTCCTTTCATAAATGTCACATGTTTTCCCACCACTGCTTTTTTTCTTACTTTTTTCTGCCTTCTAACTGGTAGCACTTAGAGCCCTTTACCTGGAAGCATTCTGTGTCTTACCAACTCATAAGTGCAGTGCTGATAAGCTTCATATAGGTTACTTGTGGTTGAGTACATACATTTGATCCTTGCTTTTTTGGGGAGGGGGGGGGCTATAGCCACTTGAAAGATGTGTAAAACAAAACAAGAGCAACAGCTGGAAATGAAAACAAAAAGCACACATGCAATTAAACCACTGAACCACGTACACAGAAGGCATATGCATACTTTATGATGAAGTAAAATTATCTCTATCTTAACCAGAATCCAAATGAACAGTCTTTAAAAGCTAATAGACAAGATACCTCAACAAGAGATCCAGCAAATAAATTGTATGCAGGTGATATCAGAATAGATGACACTGAATACAAATTCAATTCAAAGTCCAACATGGTATGTGTGCAGTTGAATTGTTGGATTTCTTGTTGCTATTATTACCAAATTGCATTTGCATCACACCTTTCTTCCTCTTACGAGGAATCTGAGGCAACTTACATGGCTCTATTTTATTCTCATAACAACAACTCTGTAAGGTAGGCTAGGCTGAGAGCCTCTGATTGGCCCAAAATGAGTGGGGACTAGAACCCAGATCTTCCAAGTCTCCAGTCCAGCATGCTAACTACTACACCACCGTAACTTCACTCTTGTTGTGTTATATTGTCCATTAGCTTTAATGCATTACACCTTTGGATTCCAAGTAAGACGCACATGTTTATGTTTCCATAATAAAATGTATATGATTAGCATATATTTTCAAAGATAAGTCACATTTCATGTACGTGGCTGAGCTCCATACTGCCTCCTGTTGGCTGCTTTCCACTTGGCAATCTCAGGTGCTGCTTGTTGGGAACTATTCTTGTTCTAATCGCTGACACAGGTTCAAAGTGAGGTTATGTAGCTGTCTGGCTGCAAGAGAGTATGTGAAGTTTTATCTCCAGACCCTGCTCATTCTTTAGCCCAGACTTGATGTCAGGCAGCAAATAATTCTGTGCAAACACTAGCCAGACATATGCATTATGGCTTAATCCTCCCTTGTGACTGGTGTGAAGGCTGTAATCCTCTAGTGTTACTGAAAGCATTTTGTGTGTGTGCATATGTGGCTGTAGAACAAAAAGAAAAAAGGGAAAAAAAGAATGTCTCTCACTTCTTTAGAAAGCACCTTTCAGATTAATGAATTTAGCTCAGTTGTTTTTCTCCAGCACACAGATACTTTTGGCATCACAGCGTGTTTGATTGTTAGATTGACTGCAGGTGGTCAATACGTAATGGATTCTGTGATTGCTACACCATGGATATGTAGAGGCAAAGAGGCTCACATTGAACCCCTTGTTCAGAAAGCACAAATTTCATCATGTGTCCGGGACAACAACAAATCCAGCTTATCTGAATGTGCTCATCTCTGAGAATTAGCTACCCTTTTGTATGCAGTCTGATCTTGCCGCCAGATTCATACCTCTTATATCATTTCATTCAGTAGAGATTTAAATCTGGTAGACTGTGTTCTCCCTGGCTCTCTGGGAGAAAGCACATGTGAAAGTCTAAACTCCAATCTCTGGTCACTCTGCTTAAGGATTGGGAGGAGCTGATGGCAAAGACCACTTCCTGAGACCCTGGAGAGCTGCGTCCAGTCAAAGTACACAACCTGTGGGTTACACACAGCCCCTGAAGGCCTGAAGCTCAGCCCCGCCAGGCGCCCTCCCCCCTCCCCTTGCAACCACTGTGCCACCTCTCTTGCCAATTTCATGCTGGCCAATTTTTTCACCACTGCTACAGGTATGCATATGGGTATGAGTGTACCACTTCTGGCCCCTCAGCTGATGCTGCATGTGGCCCTCTGAGCTGAAAAGGTTGTGGACCCCTGGAGTAGCAGAGGCTAGGACAGTCTGACCTGGTATAAGCTCACTTCCTATGTGCCTTATTTCTCTCTTTCTCCTCTTTTTCTCACTTCCTCACTCTCACACACCCCACCCCAAATTTGCTCCATAATGTCCATTTCTGTTTTCTCCCTATGCTCTGATTTTTCACTCCTGTGATCTGATGATTGCCAGGATGCTCCAAAAATTCAGTATGCACAGACGAGATCTAGGTTTCCAAAGGAGCTTGCTTTCTATTTTATTCTGTTTCTGAATACCTGGTAATCCGGGTGTATATGATGGAAGAGCCCTTAAGAAGAAAAATCCTTCCAAGCAGTTTGAACTTGTTGTTAGCCCTGGTGCCTTATCACATCAGATGTAGCTTCCCTGTGCCTTGGAAATACCATTCTTCTAGAAAATGCACCCCTCCTTCCCACCTACAGTGGATTCTTCCAGGAGGGCTTTGGCTTTCAACTGTTTGGTATGCAGCCCAAGTCTCATACATTGCAGTCAGAGTGCTATTGGGATGGAGTCTGCATCTATTGAACAGAGTTCATCACCATGCACAAAGCTGGAGCTTTGTAGTGAGCTAAAGGAAGGAGGAAAGAGTATTTGTATATAAAGGTGACTTCAACATTTTGGAGCTAGAGGAAGCATGTTTGAAATTTCTCGGAGAGAACATTTGCCGGCCATTTTAATGTTTTTTTTCCCCTTATAGACTCTGGCATATGGTCTGCCAGCAGCTCAAAAATAAGGGATGTGGTGGAGGTGGGAAGAACACCCATTATGTTACGGGGTTTGAAGCTTGGAGATTAGGGATATCCACTACTTGTTATATAGGACTGGCATGATCCAAATTGGGTCATTCCTAGTATTAGATAACCTTGCTAGGAAACCAGCATGATGGGAAGACAAGAAAGCAAAAGCTGCCCCAAACTGTAGCAAGTATTCATTGGTTAAAGGCTCTTACGAATTGTTGCCACCCTGATCTTTCAGAAACCAGTCTTACCAGCCCCATGTGTCAGATGAAGCAGCTTATCTCTAGCCATATAAAATAATTTTATCAAAATATTTTGCTTTTATTTTTCTTTTGTTTGTTCCAAATTGCCGCCTAATTTATCTAATTGCAAATGCCAAAACACTGCCATTGATACAGACAAGGTAAGCTTTGAAAGAGCTCATTTGCTAAATCAAATAAAAGCACCTCTCAGAGATTTGATTCTCCTGCAGTTACAGAGAAGAGACAGTTTGCAAGAAAGAGGTCAACTGCAGGTGTATTTATTTCAGTTGCAGATGGTCTCAGAAGAATAAAGAAACTTTGAATGTGTGGTTTGGTTCAAAGCTACAGCAATGTGGAAAATGTTTTGTAGTTTGCTTGCTTTTAATGTACATTTAGGAATGTAATTTAAATATTCAGAATAACAATATCCCATAGTTGTGGTTTCCTCAAGGATAAATTGAACTTTGGAGTTTGGTTCAGTGAAGGTGACATGATCCAAAGATTTGTTTGACAGGGGAAGAGACTGGATTTCAGATGTTGACAGGACTGAATAAAATTCAAAGCAGTCCTAAACTGCATTCAAAGATTATTCCATAACGCTTCTTGTCACGCAGGAGGAGGTGCTCAGATTTCAGGTGTTTGTGTAGCCAAAAGAAACAAACAAACTTGAGTCGGTGTGTCATTTGAGTCCTGGACTACATCTTATTTTATCTTCTTGCGGGGCTACTAGGTGTGTCAAAATGCAGTCCTCACACTGTATTAAACTGAAAGAACTGGGCCAGTAACCTACTGGGCTCATGCACTCGCAGGAGCAATCGCTTGCACAAAATAACCCCAGAATGAACAGAAATGCTTCTTCCTGGAATGGGGCAGGTCAGCACAGCCGCCAGAAGGGAGCTCCAGTGACCCGTCTAGTTTGGAGGGTCGTGGTGAGGATTAAATGAGGGGAAATTCTTGGTAACTCATCCTGGGCCCCTTGGAGGAACAGCAGGATAAAAATGTAACAAATAAAATAAATAAAAGCAAATCTTTATTTAAAAATGGTCCTGTGCAAAGAGCGTTTTGTGTGGCCTGCCTCAAAGGCATTGGGGAGCGGGCAGAATAAGAATCCTGAGTTCTGCTTTGTTACCAGGCCCAAAAAAAAAGCTCTTTCAAATTTGCATCACAAATGTACGTCCTTCACATCTTAGCAGGTTCTAATGTACAACCCCTTAAATCCTTCTGTGGGCCCTAGATCCACAGTGTCTAAGCATCCTAGTTCTGTGAACGGGCCGTCAGCTCACTGTCTTTCTGCATTCATGTGTGTTCTGCAGATTCTGTCTGCCCTGACCTCAGGCGCTTGGGCTGGCTGCCTCCAGTGGGAGGTGCACAGAGGCCTCTTGAGTGGCCTTCCAGCTGCCTGATTGACTAGCCTAATGTGTCTCCAGCCCCACCAGCAGCCACTCAGACAGGCGTTAATTGCAGGCGCTGGAAAAGCAATAATTAAGAGATAATGAGAAGGCTTTTGTATGAGTCTGGCATCCCAGGCGTCTGTCAGCAAACATGCTGCTTGGGTGCTGAACCACCCAGTTCCTCCTCTTTCACACTGGAGGACTAGTTTAGCTCGCTCAGCTTCAATGGAGCTGATGCAATAGTAGGCATGTGTTCAGCCAGAGAGAGACCCTGGAATCCTGCCAGCACTCCCCAAGCAGTATTGCAGCATTAGAGGTGTCGATGGAAGAGACTCTGCTGGGCATCATCCTTCCTGGGCAATTTGGGGGTGGGTGCAAAAGACATTATTTAAATTGTTAGCTCTCACACAACCTGTTAACAATATGGAGAAATATAAAAACTCTGCACTGAAAACTGAAGAAAAATTAGAATACAGGCCAGCAGCAGTGCAAAGATCTAAAAATGTACTAATGCTGCTTGTAAAACCAAAGGCTAAGAAGACACTGAAAAGACTATAGGGTGGGTTAGGCAATGCAGGGCAGGCTTCTCTGGGGAAGGGATTCCACAACTGGGATGCCACCACTGAAAAGGCCCTCTTTAATAGTCACTTGCCTCATTTCATTTAGCGATAGTGATAAGGTTCATGCAGGAATATATGGAAGAAGATGATCCTTCAAGTAACCTGGCTCCAAGCTGTTTAGGGCTTGGTATGCTTGCCAAGTTTAAAAGAACCTTTGCTCTGTATTATTTTAAGAGCAGCACGATATGCAGACGTGAGGAGCTGAAGCTTTCCACAGCACGGGGATGAACATGAAGCCTCCAGTGTTCCTCTTCTTCTGTTGCATGAATGTACTCCAGGTCCCACTCTTTCTTTTATCTTGCCCATCAATCCTGTAGATGCAGAGGGCACCAATTTGAACAGAAGAGTCTCCTATACCCCTGGAGGGTCACAGCACAATTAGGAACTACGGGCCACTTTAAGAGATGCATTATTATAAAGTGCCACAAAGCCATCCTATTTTGCTGGTGAACAAAGCAGTCACCCCTCTAGAACTCATTTTATTTATATTACCCATTAAAAGAAGGGCCCTCTTTTTCACCTTAGCGCTGTGAATGAAGGCGGTCTTTGTAAATATGCACTCTGTGTGATGAACATGTAAGCTTTGTTCTGTACAATACACGTATCCAAATCCCTACGCATATACAGTATCTGTATGAATGATCTGCACCTTGCAAAAATGCCTGCAGAACCGTCCGTCTTCGGAGTGTAGGCAGACTGGCTCGGCACGGTGAAGAGGTGGACATCATCATCCTACAGACACCATCCTAGCTGTTCCCCACTCCATATTTCTACACTACTCCAATGCCCATGTCTTTGTACATGCTGATGAGCTAACTGCCACCTCACTCCCTACAACAAGATCAAATGTGGTAAATTTACAATGGATAATTTCTAAAATGAGAGGTTCCAAGTATGATGATGGTGCAAGCATGCATTTGACCATGCTCAGAAAGGTATCTTCCATCGATATTCCTGCATCAGTTGCAGGGCTGCTTTTGCCCTTCTCCCTGGCTGCCTTCCTCCTCCATGACACACACAATGACTGAAGTAACCAGATGCAATTCCAGTGAATGCCTGAAACTCAACAGTCTGTATGAATGACAGTGTTGAAACCTGACATACCTCAGAGCAGAGAGCTTTCCATATGGTGAGCACCACCAGGAAGAAGGCCTCTGGATATTCCACTGGTGCAGAGTTGCCCGCAATCCTATCTTTTGTAGCAACTCTGGGCACAAAGTGGGAAGAATCAAGTGGGAAGAATCAAGGATAGTGCTGTGCACATTCTGCTCATCTTTGGGCTTCATTAGTGTGTGTGGAATTTGGAAGCTATGCTATTCCTGCTGCACAGCAGGCTTAAGTCAAGGATAGAGTCACTCAGAATATAAAAATCTGTGGCTGCCTTGGATGTCAGACATGGATGGAAAGTAAGTGCATTGACTATTTGTTTATATTATAATGTTTCATTCTTATTGGTATTAGAGAAAAATTATTCAAAACAATAATATGCCCTGACTGGATTTAGCATGAGAACAGCTAAAGATCCAGTTACAAATTCTGTTATGGTCACCCAGGAGGAATTGATCCATGTCCCTAAAAGAGAAACCAATCTTATGGGCAGCACTTGAATAAATATAAGCAAAGTCAAATAGTTTCTCCACTAACATCTGTTTTCTATAATATTCAGATTAATGGGAAGGTAGAAATGGGAAATGTATGGTCTTTCAAGAATTCAGAATTTATTTTTCTAATGGTAATATTATGCCATACCTTGAGATCCAGGCCGGAGGTCAGGGGGGCAATGAATAAAATTCCTCCCCCCACTTTTTGCCATCTGCAGTTGAGACAATTTTTACAGTAAATGGAGTGGCAATATGTTCTCATTTTTTATCTTTATACAATTAGGGAGTTAAAAAAGATTGCTAATATTTCTTAGAAGTAACATAATTTATCAGTGCAAACACAAGAGCAGTTAAAGACAACTGGAAACTGATTTAGGTTAAAAGATTTGGGAGGAAATATGGGCTTATGTTTATGCTAATACTGTTGCTAATGGTTGTTTCTACTAATGTAAAATATGTTGATTTTCTTTAAAATAATCTTTTCTTGCTTAGACTAGAGAATAGGAAGTCAAGTGCTCAGACATATTCCAAGGACGATGAACCTTCTCTGTAATAATTCCAGATTATTCCTTATTTCCTATACTTCCTGACACAGAATTTTCCACCCTGTTGAACAAAGCTCTTCGGATGCTTCAGTAACTTGGGTGTGTTTGCATTTTCCCTGGTCAGTGTGCCTTGGGATAGGGAAGTCGTGGGGGATGTAACTGCTGGTAGCATGCAGCTCTATAAGCAAGGCATTCAAATGAAGTGAACGTGTGGGGAGTTTGATAGAGGGCAGAAGAACCACATGCAAAACTGAAAACATCCACTTAATCCCAGGCTGTTCTTGAGAAAACAATGGATTAGCCAAGCATCTTTAATTTTGCCTCCATCTGATCTTTGACTGAGTCAGGTATGTGCGCAGAAAAGCCAAAGACATGAAGTCTTGGAGGTTGTTACGCCATAACAAAAATAAACATCCACAATGAATTTCTTTCTTCTCCACAACTGCCATGACCTTCTTTGGTGCTGAGGCCGAAGGGACTGTGCATTTTTTAACTAAACTGGAAGTGATTCAGTACCCATGAGTGAAAGAAATTGTTGTTCTGTCTTGATTCCTAACTTTGCCCATGGCAATGCATTCAACCTGTTTACTTACCCTTTTTACCAACTTAAAAACTCTGATGGCTTTGTCCAGCCTTCCCCAACCTGGGGCCCTCCAGATGTGTTGAACAACAACTCCCATAATTCTGAGCAAGCATATTACCAAGTTGGGAAAAGGACTAGTCCCTGAACATTTGCTCTCCAAAAGCAGCAGTCATCCTTCCTCATTTCTCATGCCTGACACCTGATATTCAGCATCCTACACCCCCTGAATTAGCTCCATTTAACTATCCTAGCTATCAGCTTTTGACCCTATCTTCTCTGAAATTGCCTGGCCCTTTGAAAAAGCCATCTAAAGCCATAAAAGCCATTTCATTAGGGACATACATTGTTGCAAAGCTTTGAAAATACACTCTCCAGGGAGCAAATTCTTCAGGTCACCTCCACCTTTCCCCTCTGGCTTTCTCTCTCTGATGGGTGTCTTTAGTTCGGTCAGACTACAGAATTTTCCTCCCAGCTATTAGCTAAATGGCACCAGCAGTGATCAGCAGACCATTTCTTGCAGGTGCCCTTTGGAAAAAGCTTGGTAATGCTGGTTTGTAGTCCGGGATCATGTTGGCAGGAAGTATTTTGCTCTATTTTGCCTCTCCCTTGTCAGTTTGACCAGCCATGCTGGGCTAATTTCATTTCTGGAGAAACAGAAGCAGCCCAGGTGAGTGCTTATCTGTGTCAGTCATGGGATCTGACTTTGCCTCAAGGAACTAGAGAGAGTAATAAGCTGTTGCTGTATTGATGCAACTCGGGAACAATGCCTACTGAATAATCTGCTTTAAATAATAGAGAGTGCCAGAGAAAGGGATTGAGTTATGTGTTTCTAATTGCCCTATACTGGAGCATTTTTTTTTCATTTGCCAAGGGTTGTGTGAGTCCAGTGGTTTTAGCTATGAGATGCACAACATGCAAGTGATTGTCCTGTCACAGCTTGGCTTTAGGCTCCAGGGCAGGCTGAGTTGAAGCTGTGCTGGTGGCACTTATTGGATGGGCACCATCACTTCTAAGAGAGCAGAGCCATGTCAAGCCATGCAAATCAAAATAGACCAGGCCTGTCAGGACCTTGGATAGATCACTGTGGCAGGTGCTCGCTGGAACTCACTTAAGGAGAATTGTTGTCTCAGCAACATGCAGAAGCCTTTGGAAGTGTGGCCAGTTTAAATTAACCTTATCCCATCTGAAAAGAGGCCTTCATTCCTTAAAGGGGCATTGCTTGATTCTGCATTCATTGACTATTATGGCAAGGGGACAATGAAAACTGCATTGGGTTTTTGAGACTGGCAAACCATACCATCTGGCTTGGAAGGTCTTGGAATAGTGGACAGTGGCTTATTGGATGCTACTTTTTCCCCTTCTTAATTTTCCTCTGAACAAGAGGTGTCATTGAGTCCAGAGAATATAACAATGAACAACAGTACAACCCTATACATATTTATCTACTTAGAAATAAGTTCCCCTAGATTTGGCGGGGCTTACCCTCTAGCATTATAGCCTCAATTTACCTAGCCAGCAATTTCACCTGTGGAGACATTGTCAATTGCTCTTGAAGTTTTTAAAAGGGTAGACTAAATAAGTTTAAATGATACATAAATAAATATCCAAAGGCAACAGAGAATGTCTCAGGAAATCTCCTTAAGAATGGAAGTTGATGTACAAATGATAGAATACAGCCAAGGCTGACACTCCCTGTGAAGGAGGTTATTGGCCAAAGACAATATGCAACCAAGAATTGCACCTGGTCACAGCAGGCATGTTAGAATTGATGGGATGATTATGGGGCTATTGCTTCCACTTGCTCTAGCTGGCAGATGTTCTTCTAAAATAGGTAAATTTCCTGTTGCTGAATCTTTCCCTTGCACAATCAAATTGGCTTAGATCTCTGCTGCTACTAGCACCTCAACAATTGTCACCAGCTGTCTGAGGATCTGGCCATCCCTAGCTTTAGGGTTTTTTGTATTGTCTGTCACTGCATTTCCCTTCCCTCTGCTTTTTGTTTTTGTTTTTTGCAAGACAGAAGGCCAGCTGACCTGCTAGAGTGATATGCATCTTCCACTGTTTTATGAACCATTATGCATTCTGGTGTGGGTAGATCTTGTACATTTGAGCCCTATAAAATAGGAGTTCATCAGTAGCCAGATGTTTTAAAAAGTAATGGTTACTGGAGTGCTTGTATTTTAAGCAAATTGCTCTCAACTTCCAAACTTCACAGATTCAGCATGTATGTGTTTTCATTCTAATGTGATGCAGAAATTTTACCGTCACAGAAGTTTTTTTTCCAAGGGGTTTCCAGGACTGCTCCCCAGCCAAGTTGCAGCATATACTATGCTTTGCTGCTCTCTGCCCCACTCATGTAGGGATAAACATAGGCAAACAACCTTAATAAACTATGGCATTTTCGGGTCTTTTCTGCTTATACTTCTCAAAAGTTTATGTAACTCAATTTTTTTACAAACATTATTATTTATCTCAATTTAAACATGTTAGCCAGAAATGAAGTAATTAGGTGCTAAATTTATATCCTGTTTTTAAATACATATAGAATTCCAAGTGACTAACAACAATAAAATGTAAAATAAAGTACACAATTGTAACTAAAACATAAATTAATTAGAATGTTGTTGTCATTGTGTGCCAACAAGTCATCTCTGACTTGCACATGAAAGCTCTCGAAAATGACCGATCCATGACAGTTATACTCAGATTTTGTAAACTCAAAGCTGTGGATTTCTTTATGGAGTCAATCCATCTCATATTTGGGCTTCATTTTCCTCTGCCTTCAACTTATCCTCGCATGATTGCCTTTTCCAGGGAGCCTTGCCTTCTCATGATGCGCCCAGAGCATGGCAGCTTCAGTTTTGTCATTTTTGCTTCCAGGGAAAGCTCTGCCTTGATTTCATCTAGGAGCCTCTTAGTTGTCTTTCTGTCACTCCAGGATATTCACCAAGCCCTCCTCCAGCACCATATTTCAAACACATCATTTCCACCCCCCCCCCCCGTCAGCTTTCTCCAATATCCAGCTTTCACGCCCATACATAGTGATCAGAAATACAATAGTGTGGATGTTCTTGGACTTGCTCTTCAGTGATATTTCCTTACACTTGATCTTTTCTAGTTCCTTCATAGCTGCTCCTCCAGGTCTGTCGTCTTTGTATTTTTTGGCAGCAGTTTCTATTTCACTTGATGACTGAACCAAATGCAATTTCTTTCACAATGTCAGTTTTTTCATTGTTCAGTAAAGTTCTACAGACTACAGAATTCCTCTGTAGTCATGATTTTTCCTATTTTAATGTCCAGCAGCAGCCCTGATTTTGCACTTTCTCCTTTTACTTTCATCAGGAGGCATTTCAATTCACTGCTGCTTTCTGCTGGAAATTTGGCACCACTTGCCTTTGATACTTGAGAACCCATTTCTGAACAGGTTGTCTTGCTGTGTTACTACCACACAAGAGATTAGCTATGCAGAACAGGAAGAAACCAAGGGAAAGCTGGCTTAGGTTTTCCACTGGACCATGATTGCAACCAGAATGATCTCTGTCTAATTGCAGTTGAGGCTGCTTCTTATCTGGACCCTTCAATAATGCCATTCTTTAAGTGTCTGACAGATTAAAAATGATTTTACAAAGGGTGGGTATCATTATTGGCCTTTCTTTATAGATAATGAAACTGATGCA